TTTTTTCAAATCAAAATAGTGCAAAAGCACATGTCGAAAAAACACTTTATCGCGTTCCATTTTTCACAAAGCAAAAGAAATTGTTGTTTAGGAAAATAATTGTGTATGCTGACTGAATGTTATCGAGAAATGTCGAAATTAATCACAAACTACCTGTTTCGTTAGTAATGACTACTAGAACTGTTTGCATTGCCATCTAACATTTGCGGGCGGAAACTAAGTTAAGGTCCTAATAGATTGTATAATAAATAATTTCGGATTTTTCAGATAAAACAAAACGATTGTACTTTTATGTTGTTATAATTTTATAAAACAATATATACGAGCATATAGTAAAATACCAGATCAGAACTACGCATTTATATAAAATTAATAAGACGTTTCATAAAATTATACATAACAGTAATACATAACAGTAATACATAACAGTAATTTAACATAAAATTATACATAAAGATACAAAATTATTTTATTTTATCTAGCAAATCTGAAATTGCTTATTACACAATTTAATAATTTCATGAAATAATGTATGTATCGTTTTGGTCTTCTGCTATCATTCGTGTGTAAATTGTTTTATACAACTACAACAATAAAAATATAAATATTAATTTTGCTTGAAAAATTCAAAATTACTTATTATACAACCCGATATAATTTTGTTTATTATAATTATTTTAATATCATGATTATTTCATTATAGTGACAAATACCAAACATCTTTTTTTCAATGTAATGTTCTTACATCTTTCTATCGCTATTATATTAATTATATTTTTCATTAGTGCGCGCGTTTTTTTATGAGAAAAGTATAAATTGTGGAAGTAAAGATACGTGGAGAAGGTTTATTACGTACTCGGCATCCTTGCTGCAGCTCCTTGTTGGACATAGGCCGACATCTTACCGCTACTTTTACCGACTCGGACATCTGAAAATGAAACGGAATATCGGTATGTGTCGTTCGCGTGATCACAAATTTGTCGGGAATCTTATAAGCGGGAGAAAGAAAGGAAATTTTAGAGCACGTCGAAACTAGATGGAACAGATAATGTGTAAACTGGGAAATATATGGCAATTATTAACTTATGTCATTATTTCGCTCGATAGTGCCGCACACTATCATATACCAGTACATATACTACAAAAACGAAAGTAAATATCGCGTGCGGCCGTAAAAAAAGGATAATTGTTGGATTGCGATTATCGCGATAATTTCGTGCGTAACTAAGCAACGCTTCTAAGAATAGAACAATATAATTTAATTATGTAACCTCGAACAGTCGAGTAACTTGTATACGTAATAAAAGTAAACTGCTAACACAGTCTGCACGTTACTTCGGTTGGGACTGAATTGAAATTTAAAAGCGCTATTCTCTAGTCAATCAGTATTTTATTAGTAAAATCGATTAAAACGACTAAACAGGTAATTTTGCAACAATATCAGTAAGTTAAAGTTATCTAAAAATGATTATATGTTATAATATATTGTTTACTTTAGAAGTTATCAAATTTAAACAAAATGATAAAATAAAAGCTGTAAGACACTAATTTGATTGTAAGAAAAGAAATATGAAATATATTCGATATTGTAATTGATAAATAATCAATTTTATCTAATTTGAATTAAAAATGCATAAATGTTGTGTTAAAACATATGATAAATATAGAAATATATATAGAAATGACATTATGAGATATTATTTAAGATATGGCGTTAACTTATCGTTTATGTGTGATATTGATTAAAGTCCATTCAACGCTACAAATGCTTCAAAACACCAGAGAAATCGATCAGTTTATTTAGCACTTGGAAGCATTTAAAATATCAAACGAACACTAGTGCTATATTTTTACTGATGTATTGTCGATATTTCATGAATATTTTTATTGAAATATAAATATTGTATTTGATATATGTCTTACAGTATCTTACAATTTTTATTTAATACTTGGAAGCATTTAAAGTATTAAACTAACATTGTCTAGTGCCATGTTTTCATTGATGTATTGTTGATATTTCACGAATATTCTCATCGAAATATTTAATTTTCCCTTCAATTTATGTGATGCTTCATTATATTTCGTCAAGCCTTCTCCAATCTTTTGAAATCACATAACAGTCGTATAATAAAAAATCGAATTTAACGAATTAAGGTACACGAGAACCACGGGATAGTCAGAGTCGACTTTAGACGTTGACTGAGCAAACACGTGTTTGGGGTGACTTGTTTCCAAGAATAAGAGCGTATTCATCGATTTTTCGTCGCGATTCCTATCAAATTTGCATTATCGTATTCCGAGCGCCGCTGAAATCAAGCGCATCGATAGTCCGTGCGCTTTTCTTCTCTTCGTCGCGACGCGTATATTCGATTTCCCCAGCGAATTTTCGCTCAAAAGTCACAACAGGGAACTGTCACGAGTATACAGAGCGTCGACGAAACGTTTTTTCTTTTCCAATTTGACTCAAAAATCTTTTTCAAACAAAAATTTTTACAAAATAAACAAAAATGTAAACGTTAAAAACGTTAAAAATTCACAAAAAAACGCGACTCTAACTCGGAAGACCTTAACCCAGCACTTCTCCACATTGCGAAAGATTCGAATATAAAAATAAACAATGCGGTTTTTAAGTAGAAATATGTCGACAAATGGAACGTGTGCACAAAGATTTTGTAGCAAAAATTACTAAAGAATTTGTAACTGATATTCCACCTTAATTTATTATTTTTCCGTTTCATATGTGTCATTTGTATTTTAGGAACTATGTGAAATCTACTATTAAAAAAATTATTATGTTAACAAGATAAATTATTGAGTCTATTCCTGCACTATTATATTTGGAGAAAAAATACTTAAAAATAGTAGATATTTATTTCGTGTGAATATTGATAACATGTTTACTTAAATTCAAATTTTTTTATTTAAATAAAATTAATTATTGCTTTTTAAAAAGCCAAAATTTCTTTAAGCTTTTAAGAAAATGTATGTATTTTCTTATTTGCAAAATGTTTTGTATATTAGTATAAGTAAATACTTTAATATAAGTAATACAAATATTCATTATTTCTCAGATATATTTTCTCTCAGTATAGAAAACATGGTAAAATTGAAAAGAATTTTTCGATTAAAGAAAATTCAAATTATTGAAGATAATTGAAATAATTCAAAATTTGAGAGTTGAAGAGGACGAGAAGAGAATCTGTAATATACGTTTCCTCTCTATGTATTCAGTGGGAGAAAACTTTTGAATTGATTTAAGGGGATGCTGAAGCTGAAAACTTTACCAACAAAATACTGATATTTTTCTGCAAAGTTTGTGTCGTACTGATTGTACAGAATTACAAATATTTTCATGCAATGAATGTACGTACAAAAATAAATAGGAGCATTGCTCAATATGTGACAAAAACAAAAAAACAATTTTAAATGTAAAATTTCAGTTGTCAGTTAGCGTAATAGTTTCCTAATCCAAAAGTTTCGTAGCTTGTACCGAAAATGTGGATGTTCCAAGCAGAAAAATTTTGAAGAACATTATTGTACCTTCGCATTTGAATTCGGAAACTTAAGAATATCCGAAAAGTTTGCAGATAAATTTTTACACATATGTGGTTAGATTTTCCGCTGAATATAGTAAAACAAAGCAACATACATTTACGTAAGTTCTGTATGTACAAGAAGTACAAAGGGGACAGTGTGATTATGTTAGTGACGATCGTCTCCGCGTTATCGACATTATTCGCCATCGACTTCAGCATCCCCTTTATAATATACATTTTAGGATTATATTTCACGATACCTTTGTTCCGTGAAAAAATCGGATATAAATCAGTCAAATAAATATAAATAACAATGCGATGATCGTAACGCGATAATAAAGCTGTGCGGCGTATGATTCGTTCGTACACCGCGTATATATTTCAACGTAAAAAGCATGAAGGACGAGACGAAGGGACGGTGGAAAAGGCGGACAATCGGTCTTCGGTATAATAGGGGCCGAGAATAATCAATGATGACAGATGACATAGATAATCGTCTACCATTATTCGTCCTGTCAATAAATCGCGGGGAATTTATATCGTTGAACAAAAGTGCTAGTTGGCAGACCGTCTAGCGGCGGCTCCAAAACACCCTCTCGTTAGGCACCAGCCGTTCCTGCTACGTCAATCGACCTTCGCCCGGCTGACCGTGAACCTGGGGTCTCTACCTCGCCAACGCACACCTCCCGACGCGTTCTTATCGGCGCGTATCACAGTGCTGTATGATTCGCTCATTGACATTCGCTGCGTTTCCGCGCGTCACCTTGTACGTGACAAAAAGCAGATAACGATCGAAAAGTGGCGACGATTACTCGCACAAACACGCTCGCAATAATCCCCCAAAATGCGCGATGGTGTGATGTGTCTCGCTGTTGATTCTCGCGCGATATTACTTGGTCAAATTTGCCGTTATCTTGTTTGACTATTTATCTACTCAACTGTCTATTTTATCGGTTAGTTAGAGGATTCAGTGCAATTTTCCCGGCGAGAGGTGACGCGTACATGTATATCGATATGTAGGAAGATTAAAATTTACATACATTATCCAGCTAATGGTAAATTGACATTTACCAGACCTATTCTAGTAGCATCGTTTATTGGGACAATATTGGTTACAAATTGAGTCCCAATATACCTAATATTGGCCTAATATACCTAATATAGTTAATATAGAATTCCGAATACTGACAATGCACTTGTTATCAATATTGACCACATATTAAGTTACACTGGCCCAATGCATCCCTAATGTATGCCAATATTGATACAATCATCTTTATTTATAATCAATATTAGTTATGTTGGCCAAATATATACTAATATAACCAATATTGGACCAATATAATACTAATGAACTGTGCTACTAGGTTAGTTACAAAAGAATTTTTCGACTATGTGCAATGTTTTTACATATTTATATATCCTGATTGTTGAGTATTCTAATGTAATTGTTGCTTCCTCAGAATGTTCAACAGTCATGATGTACGAATATGCAGAAATATTGTGCATGGTCGAGAAATTCTTGTGTGACTAGATGTAATAAATGTTAAGGCTATTATGCCCCAAGTAGAACAGAAAATCACGGTGATGTCGGAATGACGAGAAAATAAGTGAATCGTGATTGAAAAGTGAGTTTTCTCGTAATTTTCTCGTCATTTTGATGTTGTCATGATTTTTTATTCTGCCTGAGGCCGGATGGTATACAGTGGTGTGTAAAACGGTTTAGACGCAATAAAATTGGTTCAGTGAACTTTACATTGAAATTCTTTACTGCGAGATGTAACAAGCTTGTCCAGTAATTATATTATTAACCATTTAGTATTATTATTGTTTATTGTCTCATTTAGTATACTTAAATATAATATTATGTTATATCAATTATATATAAATATATATAATGTTAAGTATATTAATATATATAATTATATTAATTAATTATATCATTATTGCATAAGCGCGTCTGTAATGACTCAATTTCACGAGTTTGGTGAACTCTTAAATTCCACTGCGTCTAAATTGTTTTGCGATTTACTGCCTAGTGGAAGAAAGATCGCAACACTTTGACCTCGAGAAACTTTAGCAGAATTTCAGGACACATTTGATATTCGAAAGAAGAAATCGTTAACTGGTAACCTTTGGTAGATAAATTTTCTCATCGAATACCGGATGTATGAAATAATTTATTGAGGTAAAGTTTGTTCTCTCACCTTGCTTTTATTGACTGTGCATATGATACGACAAGTTCGATAAGATCGCGCGGGCGAAATAATGAGAGGCAAACGCGGGGGGCGCGAAATGTGCTGCAACGATTTTCTCTTTCTTTGGCAAGCTTTCGACCCTCCTCGTTCAGGGCATCGTGCTACATGCCGTCGTACTTGTTCACTACTTCGAGCGGCGATTACGCTCACGTGTTACGGCGAGGTTGTCTCGCTTCTGTAACAACGTAATGCGGCCGATACGCGTCGCACAAAGCGGCGAGTTCGCGATCGCGAAGGGTAGATACACGCTGACCGCTTGACCGAGTGGAGCCCAAAGTTTGACCCAGTCACGCGCGTGCCGGTTATAACGTCGCTATAATCCTACTTGTCAAATCGCTGGAAACAAAGGCAAGAATAAAGTTGTGCAAAAAGTAACGGTTAAAAAAGGTTAACACGTTACCCGTGTCGGATCAATTTTACGTGACTTGCTACCCGCAACAAGGTGACCCGCGTTTTGTCATCTTGTGAGATATATTTCATTTATTAACCTATTTACACATTATATACATGTATAGCATTAGTGACGGATATAATTGTTCATTTTTCCTTGGCTGTCATCACACGGAAGTGGAGAATCGCGACTTTTTACTAAGAATGGATTGAATCATAAAAATTATATGTTTTTAATACGTTTTATGATATTTGATGTTGATCTAAAGAAAAGAAATTAGTATAAAAGCCAGTAAAATTTATTAAAATTCGGTAAATTTAATAAAAATTTAGTATCAAATATATATGTGTGGTCATGTTTTTCAAATCTTCTAATGATGCAAGTGGGGGAGGAGAGCAGAGGCTAAATGATTTAAAAATATAAAGTATATGAAAATTAAATAATATAAAATAAATGTAAAAGAATATGTAATATACGTATATATAAAATGTATATAAAATAATAGTAAATAATATAATATATAATAACAATATTTTATATAATATAATATTATATAATAATATACACAGAAAAATCGTTTGGTCGGATTAATTAAATTTCTAATGAAATATGAACGAGTCAGAACATTCTGACTGAAGTTGTTAGAAATCTAGTTAACTTGAATAAATTTAAAAACTTGTTAGAAATTTAGTCAGTCCAATTTTTTTTCCGCATAATAACAAATAATATATGATTTGCAAATAATATGTAATGAGTAAAATATATAAAAATTAAGAGAGAGAGAGAGTAGCATAAAATAGACGATTATAGTAAAGATTAGACAGATAAATAATTCTAAGGATATTTCAAAATTATGTTTCGTTTATACGTACAAGCGAAAAGCAATGGAGCGAGCAATAGTTCATGACGTGGCGCGAAACGCGTTAATCGCGATTTGCGATTGTTTAAAAGATACTCGGGAAAAAGAGCACAATGTTGCCATTTGGATGACGGTGGTCGGAGAGCTCGATTTCGAAACGCTGGGCGAGCCCATGTTTCGCTGACGCCATTCTATCGATACCGGAATATCGAAGTTCGTCGCCGAGATATCGATCGCCGCTTGTCGAGCGGGAAAGTCCGTTTCGTCGGACCATTGCGATACATCCCTCGAAATTTGGCGATTACTTTCTCATTTCGACATAAGGCGAAGGAGCTCGTAATCACAACATTGCAGCGTCGCGGCGAAAAGACACGCGACGTTGATAAACGATCGTGGGAATTTCTCTCTGGGAGAGTCGCGGTCGCGTGAACAAGGCGAGGAGAGGGAGGAGAAATGGCGCGAAGGAGATTATCTCGGAGGAAGATCCGTTGTGGGATAAAAAAGCGTGTCCCAGGTGCGACAGGAAATTACGATGATGTGAAAACGACGCGAGAAAACGTTCGCCTTTCAGTGAGGTTTTGATAATTTCTTTTTCGTCATTACGATTTCCTACTCCGCCTGGGGCAACACAAAAGTCACGAGCGTCTTGGGATCGCCGTGTTAATAATTCACGACGCCGACGTCTGCGTCGTGCACGCATCAACTCCGCTCTAGGTAGAATAGAAAATCAGAATAGCGTCAGAAGTGACGGGACAATAATCGAATTGTAGTCGAAAGGTGAACCCAAGCAGAACGAAAAATCACGATGACGTCAAAGCGACGTGAAAATGACTATTAATGAATGATTTTTCCAATCTTTCGATAAGTTAACTAACAGTTGAATCATATGTTTCTATTTGTTTTTCTTTTGAATTAGACAAAGACAGACATATGATTTAACTGTTAGTTATTTTACCGAGAGATTGGAAAATCGGTACTAAGATTCGTATTATAGTCGTTACTTGAAACTTGCCTCAGGTGAGACACTCGTATTTTAATTTAGAGTCAGACCTGAGCTCTTCCACAGAATATCGCGGTTACAAATGTAACTATCATCATTTAATATATCATTTGATGTATGTATTATATAATTCAAATAAAAAGCTCCCTCATCTAACTCTGATCTTCAGATTTGTGTATTTTACGGAGAAATCTCAAGTAACGACCATCAATACGAGTGTGAGAAATTGACTTTTCAATCATGAGTTTGAACACGTCATCGTGATTTTTTGTTTTACCTGGGGATTCTCTCGCGCGCGCGGTCATTTCTCCGTTACTTGCGCGTGATTGTGATTTCCCGTTTTACCTGGGGCGCGTGTTCTTCGTGCTACGTGACTTTTCTCGCCCCGCGACCGACTAGTCGACGTCTCGACGCCGACGTCGACGTTCGCACTTCGTGATTAGCCTTGCACTTACACCGGCGATGAAGCGGCGCGCGTCCTCGCAGGCGCAATTCTTACATCCAGGAGAACATGACCGCGGGCTACCGCGCGAATTTTTGGCGGGAATCGAGAAACTCAAGACGACGAGAAACGCGTACGTCACGGCAAACGCGTCCAAACTGACGACGGGCGTCGCGACGCCGCGCGTCGTGACTCATACGCGCCTTCGAATCGTCTCGATGGCGTGCGCGTGCGCGTTTATATCAACAGCATTGTCCGAATAATATCGATATTGTCTCTTGAATCTTACTGGTGAAAGCAGGCGCTCGACGACAGTCGGCAGATTGCTATTAACTTTGCTAAATGCAAAAATCGCGCGATGCCAAATGTTCCATGGTAAGGTAATTAATGGAAACTGCTTTCCGCGAAGGTGGTTTGACCTGCGGAGTCTCCATCTAACAGATGAATCATGAAGCGTGTCCTAGTCTGCGGCATCGACTAGGTAAAAGTAAAGATGTGAAAGTACATCAGAGAGAAAGGTAGGTCCTACATCAGAGGAATCTACAGGTCTTAAGCCCATTCTAGAATTGCGTAAGCGTAGTCGTGAACGTAAGAGTCAACCAATTCGAATGTTTTATTCACTGATTGCTTTACTCTGATTGGTTGTCGTAATTACTTACAACCACTTACAACCACGTTCACGCAATTGTAGAATGGGCTTAACATCAAAGGAATCCTGGCCCATACGCAGGATAGGTACCACTCCGTATGCGCGATAATCCGAATATAATGCTACAATAGCTGCGTTCGGCATTGTAAATCGAAGACGTCGGATTGCTCTTTTACCTCGAAAATGCACAGAAGTGAGAGAGATATGAGATCTTGTATCTTTTTCATTTCTATGCATCTTCGAGATAAAAGAGCAATCCGACGTCTCCGATTTACAATGCCGAACGCAGCTATAGGATCTAACGTTATGGGCGCGATTTTGAGATATTGATAAATTATTTTCAAGATTCTGGGGGTGCTAATGAGGGAGTAGAGTAAGGCTAACACACATTGTCATCAAGGAGTCGACGCAAGGCGGAACGTACACTTCTTTTCGAAATTAAACTCTCACAACCGTGAAAATTACTTTAAAAGACTGTGAAAAGTTACTCTAGAATGTGCTTTACACACTAACATTATATGTAATAATAACTATCACTATCACTATCATTTATTATTCGAATTATTTTTATAATAATTATAATAATATCTGCTCGACAATCGTGTGATAATAGCGGATAATAACTGAATAACGATGATGAAATAATCGGTAATAACATTGAATAACAATAACTGGGCAACGGTAATAATAACTGATTAAAGATTAGGTAAAGAAATTGTTGTAACGGCACGCCCGAGTTTCTTCCCTATGCGTAATAAAAATAATTAAATAATAACCGAATAAATTAAATAATAATCGAATAAAGAAATAATAATACTCAAATGTTAAATGGTAGTGATAATAATATCTGTTCGACAATCGTGTGATAATATCCGCGAGTGGATAATAACGAAATAATGATGATCGAATAATCGGTAATAACAATACCTGGGCAACGTCTCTAACAAAAACTCTAGGCTTCACAAAGGCTAGGCAAACATACCGTCGTAACGGCTCGCTCGTGTTGTTGTCTGAGCGGCGCTTGGGAGGGCGCGGGGCCGGTCATGTAAATATACGTGCGCGAGCACGTGCTCGAGTATCACACCATAGTATTATCAACCGTCGAGGCGAACGCATTGAGAGTTCCCGCGTTATTGTCTAGATTATTCCGCGCCGATTTTTAATATCGCGTTTTGACTTCGCGATAATGGATGCGATAATTAAGACAAATTAAGACGCGTACTCCTCACGCGAGCAGGTGTTGCGGGCTTTACCGCGAGAGGTAATTACCGCGTTTTATTTACTTTTTTACTTGTTAGATAGAGAAAAGTCGCGATCGAGTTCCTCAATGCCGATCAAATATTATCATTATCCATTTATTATTTGAGTATTATTATTTCTTTATTCAGTTGTCATTTAACTATTTTTATTATGTATTGGAAAGCAACTCGACGATTTCCATTTATTATTTGAGTATTATTATTTCTTTATTCAGTTGTCATTTAACTATTTTTATTATGTATTGGAAAGCAACTCGACGATTTCCTAATCACGTCTTGCTGTCGTGTGTAATTAATCGATACTACCGGACATTATTATATGGTTGTCGATCAGACATTATTATCATCATCTATTAATTAATCGGGTATTATTACTTCTTTACTCGGCTATCGTTTAATTATTTTTTATTGTGCATTGGGAAGGAACTCGAACGTGTCGTTACGACAATTTCTTTTCACCGTCTTACTATTGCGTGTAATTTAATTTCATACATATTTGATATTTAATTTCATATATATTTGATACTAATTTATTAAATTATTAATTGATACTAAATTAAATTAAATTTCTGTTACAGGGATTTAATAGATATCCAATAGAGAGGACGCAGTCACGTGACTCTAGGGGATGCGATGTCTGGGGGATGCTGCGCCGGAGGATCTGGCTCGGGCCTGGCAGAGTTGGCGCGAAGGTGAGTTTTACTGATTTAAATTCGTAATTAGAAATCCAATAATCCTGGAAATTCTCTTATTTGGAATCAAGTTCCTTAATATTTTCATTGTCGTGTGTAATACTAAATTAAATATGCGTTCTGTTACAGAGACGAAGCAGATGACCAGCCGACTCTTAGGGGCTGCTGCGCCGAAGGATCCGGCTCGAGCCAAGCGGGGTTAGCTCGAAGGTTAGTTTCCCTAATTAGTATTTGTAATTATAAATCCAATAAAACTGATAACTCTCTTACTCGAAATCGAGATAATTTGAATCGAGTCAAAGATCGCATTAAATCGTAATTACACGCGGGGAGAATTTTTTCCTGAGTAACATTATCACTTGAAAAATGCTGATTTGTTCTAATTAAGAGATTTATTTGAAGCATCGAGAAAGAGGAAAGTGTGGAATATTCTAAATGTGAATGCATTCTGAAAAATTCTCCCAGCGTGAAAAATATTACGCGCTTATTTTTCTTTTAATATTGCAAACTTCTTCACTCAAACCAACATCAATGCACGAATCTAATCAACGAAACATTTTTCTGTTCCAGAAACGAAAGCAGAACGTGGCTACCCTGATCGGCGAGTCGGTGAGTCAAACAAAAAAAGAAAAATTGATAATAGAAAGATAAAATATCTTTCCATGTAATGCATGTTCATGTATCAATGCGATTTACTTTGCTGTGGTATAGTTTGTGTATGTGCCGTCCAATAAAGTACACTGTTCGAAACAATTGAAAGATCGCTTTTACAAATAATAATATTAGTAATAATACATTTTTATAAATTTTCCAAATTTTCAAGTATTTCTTCCCCAATGCATATATATTTATTAATTGTTTGACTAACTTAGATTATTGATTGGTCAATAATTTTTGTTGAGGAAAATTTGAATTAATTAAACCCTAACACAGTCTGGCAGATGCCATTAAAATATCGAGTATACGCTCTGAATTCAAAATTTTGTAAAATTATTTAGTTTTATTGAATGCGACCTTCCATGTGTCTCGATCAGTACGCCAGCGCGCAGAAATTGCGCCACAGAAAATGTGCAATCACATCATCCGCCTCGACAGATATTCCGCCGGTCTTTAATTTTCTCAGTTTTCTCTCTCGCGTGAGCTTGCGTCGCAATTGCATTTTGTAAAGTAAGAGTTCGTTATTAAATAAAATTCGATATCGTGCGATGTCTGCGCGAAGCGATCTAACGTGATTATTTAAACTGCTCGTGAAATTTCATGGTCGTTGGAAAATTTTCAATTTTTTATTTAGAATTTCGAATGCGTAACAATAGATAATATCAGCGATCGTTGATCTCTCGCGAAAAACACGATATATACAATTCAGGAATGCGAGCAATTATTTGTTTATTTACACGGCGCGCGACGAGTTTCATCGAGATAAGCACCTCACGCCGTAACATTTTTTTGCCTAAATTTTGAATAAATCTTTGTCTCCATTGTCGCAATTTTTATAGTTTTTGATTTTTCATTCACGCTCGCGTTCGCGTTTATGCGTTTTAATAAATTTGCGGATTTTATCGGTTCGTATTTGCGAAAAAGTCGAGAGCAAACTTTGCAGAAATATTGCGAAGTTCTTATCCGCAAAAAGCATTGCGGAATTGTTTTCGCAAAAGTGTGAGCTGTTATCCGCAAAAATATTGCGGAATTGTCTTTACAAAAGTATTGTGGAGCTATTATCCGCAAAAATATTGCGGAATTGTTTTCGCAAAATATTGCGAAGCTGTTATTCACAAAAATATTGTGAAATTGTCTTCGCAAGAGTATTGCGGAGCTGTTATCAGCAAAAATATTGTGGAGCTATATTGCAGCCTACTACGCTGCTCCATCGAAACGTTACATTAGGGATATTCTGTGTCGTATGTAAGAATCTCGCGCGATTACTTCATTCACGCGTCGAAAGATTTCACGAGATCGGCCTTCGATTTGCGTCGCGCGAGTATCAAAGCGATACACTACAACTCGATCGGACCGTTGCTGAATTTGTCGCACATACTCGTCGTTTATCCGAAAGGCCGATATATCAAAAACGCAGTTCGCGATATTTCATATGCAATTCGCAACTCGGAGTGTATCCCTCAAAAGAGATGAGATTTTTCGTGAAACTTCCGTTAGATTACCGCGGTCGGGAGTGAATTACAGGCGACGTGGGACGCGAGGACTATTGCAGTGTCAGATGCAGCGACAGGATGTCTGGTGGACCCTGGACACCGTGGGACGACGCGCAATGGTGAGCGCTCAATTTAGACGCTCATATAGTAGATACAAAGCGTCACTTTACGTAGATTGCATGCACGTAAACGTAAATCGCATTGGGTCCGACGGGAAGTAAAGTAAGAATTGGAATTTGCAATTCGTCTGAGTTATGTAAGAATGATCTAACCAAAGAATTTAGCTTTGAGATTTTCGCAATAGTTCAGCAAGTCAAGTATTTCCATTTCTTTAAGAGTATTGACTAGCTCAGTCTTAGAAATATGTGCAGTTCTTAGAAATATGTGCAAA